ACGAATGAGAAGGGCGTCTATCTTATGTTTCCGATCTTAATGAATATTATGCCTCCACCGATAGGAAAGACGCGTATTTTTCGCGATATTCAGGCGAATGCTCTGTGATATTCGTGATCTGAACGAACGGCTGGAAAATTCACACTTTTGCCGCGATATTGAGTCGAATAACGTGTAATTTATATTGATTTTCAAAACCGCTGAGTGATCATCGCATAATTAGTTTTCAAAAAAATTTCCAGAAAAATCACTAATTTCCCGCCATCTTGAGATGAAGAGCGCGTACTTAATTTCTTTTACTTTTGGCGATGTGCTAGAAATATCGCGAAATATTACGTGGTACTGAGATGAAAATTCCGTGGTTTCTTACTTCTTCACACGCGGAATGAACCGAGCAACTATTCGAACTCCTGAGTAGGTATGTAGTATCACGAGAAATTGAAGGAAAATTTAAGCGTACCGCTTATCTCATGTCAATGGTGTTTATGAATATTAGACTCTCATGGACAGGAAAGTCGCGTATTTTCCGCCGTATTAAGGTAAAAATGGAGTCATCTTTTGTGATCTTAATCGACCTGTGTCAAATTTTCGTTAATTTCGCGATATGGAGGTGAATTAGGAGTAATTTGTATTAATTTTACAAAACCAATACATGCAATAGCGTGATTGCCGGGCTATAGCGGTGATTATCTCGTAATTTCTCATTTTTCAAAGAATTCGCTTCAAAATTCGTGCATCTCCAGCCCTTTTGAGATGGAATCCGCGTAATTTCTTTTTGATTTAAGTAATTTACCTGAAATACTGCGTTCTATTCAAATGAAACTTCTCGTTTTTTTATCCCCGGAAATTAGGCGAGCAACTATTCGAACTCCGGAGGTGGTATGCGGTATCCTGCGAAATTGAAGGAAAATCATACCTTTTTGCCTGTCTCAAAGTTTCGACGTTACTGAATGTACCTATTTTGCTCGCATCGTTGAACATGGAAATGAAGTGCACAACTATCCGAACTGCTGAGTATACTCGCGCGATATTGAAGTGAAATACGCATCACTTTGAGCGTTCACCACGATAGTAGTGTAGGTAACGCTCCACGTTTAGTTCAACAACGTCTTGCAGCGCTCTCTTCTGTCCGCGCAAAACCACTTTTACATATTGACGAGTAGGAATGGACGAATATCGAATTCGAATGCGAGTATTCGAATATTCGAAACTTTTCGAATGCGATTATTGCGATTATTTGAGAATTCGAATCTTGCGATTTCGAATATTTCGGAAGCGAATATTCGAATATTTGCGATTATTGCTTCGATTTTTGATTTTTTTGAACCGTGCAACGTGGCACTGTTATTAATAGTGATGAATGACACTTTTAACCAAGACCAATCCACACAGGTCAGTCATTGCGCATCTTTTTGAAAGCCACTTCCCCGCCCGGCCCTGACTCGGCTGCACTCAATAGTACGTCACAATGGGTGCTCCCATAAGAAATACATTGCAAGCACTCAATAGTACGTCACTGCGCAGTAGAATACCAAAACTCGTCCACGGGAATGACTGACCTGTGTGGATTGGTCTTGCTTTTAACTAAGACGTTCAGTTATTCCCGTGTGGAGAATGTAGTCGAGTTTTAATAAGCAACGAGATTGACCGTAGGGTCGAAACTTTTCGTGGTGTGGAGTTGAGATGTGCACGAGTTTGGAGCCCCTACTGCGCATTGCAGCGGGAAATTTAAATGTAATGAATTTCTAATGGGCACGGCTGATGTTGCCTCCTACTCATGGCATGCGCTCGAGTGAGGGCCGGGCGGAGGAGAGGATCCCAAAAAGATGTGCAGTAACTGACCTGTGTGGATTGAAGAGCTTGGAAAGTATGGTTTTTGAAAAATTTGAGAAAAAATGATTACAACTAAAACTAGTCTTAAAACATATTCTGTGAACCATTCACTGATAATATTCAATTTTTAAGCATCAAAAAGTGAGTTTTAACTCTCTTGCAGCCATTAGGCTCCATTTACTTTTGAAACTTAAAGTAAATTGAAATAGCAAACACTGCACTTATTCCGCTTGTCCTCCAAGCCCCTCGATTCGTCTTGATACTGATTAGTTTTCCGAAAGCGACACTTAAAAAGAGGAGGGAAGGGTCTTAAGTTGCCTTCCAAGTGTGGAAGGGGAGGCTGGGTGGAGCCTTGCGTAAGGACTAATGCTCCTTATTCCCTACCTTAATTTATGGATATTTTATGCAGGTTGAAATCTGGAAAATTTCAATAAACCTCTACAAATAAATTTGATTATTTGGAAATAATTTTTTATTCCAACCAAGTAATGCTTCAAGTTATAACAATTCTTCCCGAAATTACTTCTGGTACCTCCTCTCAGTTTCCCCAAGTTAAGGGGGGTTGGTTTGGCCTTCCGTAATTTGTTTAAGGAAGGAGGGAGGGGTTGGGGGGTTTAGGGTTGCCTTGATAACAGGGAAGAAAAGTGTAAAAATAGGAAAGTCTTCTACAAAATGTGTGAATGGTGCCAAATGCAATGTTGCATCAACTTTCAATGTACTATTCACTTTTCCTTCTTACTCACTTAAGTACTTACTAACTCCATTTTTTTGCGGACCTGTCAAACTCTTTCCTGAGGTGGAAAATCTGGAGAAAACAGTGCAAGACTGCTGCAGATTTGCCACTCACTACCTTCCCACTAGTGAAAGTGTAAAAACGCGTATCTTGATTGCAGTGTTTCAAAATCTTTGCTGCTTTTTTATTTATTTAAAAGGAAAACGAAATTATGGACCAGGATAAATGTTTGTGGACTATCACTAGCGTTATTTGCAAGCTTAGCAAAAAAGAGAGAAGCTCAAATATCCACAGTTGAGGCAAAACTACCTATTGTGTTGCATTTTGTATCAGAGTGAAGTTTACAACAAGCTTATGAACTTTGAGAATACTTTTTAGTATTCTTTCAAGAAGAGAAGTTGCAAGTTATAGATGAAGAAGATTTAAAAGTAAAAGATGAAAATATTAGGAAATTTCATTTATTCTTCAAAAAATGAACGCAATGTTTTTAAAACGAAATAAATGAACGAAGAAAGATGAACAATTTTTTGAGATAAGTTCTTTTAAACAATTTGGAGGACAAATGCACATTCATATACAGCATATTTTAGTTACAGTTATATCATGTGGACCTAAGACAGATGTTGGTGGATAGCTTAGATTGTCAAGAATTATTTCTAAATTTGGCAGCAATTTGAGAATAAGAATGCAGTGAGGAACAATAGCATCAACTAAGTTAACTTGAAACACAGCCAAGGAACATAACTAATATTTACAGAGGTAACTACCGAGCGAGGTAACAAAAAAAAGAATAAAAATTGCAATTACGTAGAGACAAAATTTAAAGTAGGTCTAAGTGTTGGAAGGACTGTAATTCTTTAACATTAAAGTCAAACAGAGGTACATGATAACAATTAACGTATCATAAAGTCTACTATCTAATGTAACAACAAAGACAAAAAGTTGGACTGTTTAAATAGTCAAATATTAGAAAAATATCTCATGAAAAATAAAAATAGGCACAAAGAAAAAGAAGCAATTTTGGAGTCATTTACTGCGCAAAATTTTAACTGTTTAAATAGTCAAATATTGGAAAAATATCTTATGAAAAATAAAAATAGGCACAAGGAAAAATCAGCAATCTTGGAGTCATTTACTGCGCAAAATTTTAACTGTTTAAATAGTCAAATATTGGATAAATATCTTATGAAAAATAAAAATAGGCACAAGGAAAAATAAGCAATTTTGGAGTCATTAACTAGGCAAAATTTTAGTCGGTAAGGGGCAATTTTATGCCAGGAATGTGAGTAAAATAATCTCACAGAATAAACAAACTAAATTATGACTTAGAGCAAGTGCTAAAGAAGTTGGCTTCGAATGCAGCCAAGGCAAAGGGCTTTAGAGAGTAAATTTTAAAGGAGGCCCAAGAATTGGAGGGACCATGATTCTGTAAATTCATGATTCATAATTCTTTTAAACATTTAAGTCAGAAAGAAGTGCTTGATAATAGCACATTGAAGCCTCAAATACGAGTTCATTTGAGAGTTAGAAAGTTTTGATTCTATTGGCAGTTAAGGCCAATTGTGCCAATAATGAGTATAAAAGAGGTAAACAAAAGATCATAAAGTCTATTAGCTAATGTAACAACAAAGACAAAAAGTTGGACTGTTTAAATAGTCAAATATTGGATAAATATCTCATGAAAAATAAAAATAGGCAAAAGGAAAAATACGCAATTTTGGAGTCATTTACTGTGCAAAATTTTAGTCGGTAAGTGGCAATTTTTTGCCAGGAATGTGAGTAAAATAATCTCACAGAATAAACAAACTAAATTATGACTTAGAGCAAGTGCTAAAGAAGTTGGCGTCGAATGCAGCCAAGGCAAAGGGCTTTAGAGAGTAAATTTTAAAGGAGGCCCAAGAATTGGAGGGACCACGATTCTTTAAATTCATGATTCATAATTATTTTAAACATTTAAGTCAGAAAGAAGTGCTTGAAAATATCACATCAAAGCCCTAAATGCGAGATCATAGGAGATCATTAGAGGTAGGAAGTTTACACTCTATTAGGAATAAATGCCTATTGTGGCAATGATAGAGTAAGATAATCTTAAAAACATTAACAAACTAAATTATGATTTAGAGCATGTGATAAAAAAGTTGGCTTTGAATGCAGCCAAGGCAAACAACATATTAAAAAATCTATTATCTATTGTAACAACAAAGACAAAATGTTGAACTGTTTTAAGAGTCAAATATTGGAAGAAATATCTCATGGGACAGAAAAAAATAGGCACAAGAAAAAATGAACAGTTTTGGAGTCGTATACCGAGCAACATTTAAGTCGGTAAGTGGCAAGTTGCGAGTAAAATTATCTTACATAAAAGAAACAAACAAAATTATGGGTTTGAGAAACTGCTTCAGAGGTTATAATTGGCGAAGCAAAGGTATGAACTTCATGCATACCAAACCGAGTCATCAACAGAATACATGAACAGTAATTTTGGTAATTTCCGGGGGTTTATCCGCGTTCGTTTAGGGTTGACTATCAGTCCTGCTGCTGAAAATTCGCGTTCTGCAGCAGCAGAGGAGCCTTGAACTGTGGCGTATTTCCTCATAAGAGGATATAAATCCGGATATTTCATCTTCAATTTTTGTTCCCATTCCTTGAATGGATTTGCCTTTCGATCCGCAGTGTCTTCTGCAATATACTGTCGAAGCTGCAATGGGAAACCGCCAAGCTCCACTAATGATGAATTAGAACATTCAGTCTTTCTCTTTGTGTCATGGTAGCCCCACAAGCTACTTCCAGTTTGTTTCTCCTGCTGCAACTGTTCCTGCAAATTATCGTCATTACGCTCTGACTTCTCTCTTTCCTTGGATGCGTTTGTCATTTCATGTGCCTTATTTTTGAGAAGATTGGAGACCGCAGTCGCTTTTTCAAAGTGCAGTTTTTTGAATCGAGGGTCAAGGAATGTGCCCATGGACAAGATTCTACCATCTTCGATATCTCCAAACCTTATGAGCATTTCAACTTCAAGGTTTTCTTTTAGAGATATAACAGGAGGTAGCTTTAGTTTTACTTGCTCCAAGTGTCTCCTTAGGCACCACACGGTTGGAATGACCCGGCTGGCAGTGGCATAATACTTGCCTGATAGTTAAGTTAACGCCTCAGCGAACGGTCTCAGAAGTATGATCATCTCTTTGATAATGGCATGCTCATCTGGACCTACAATCCTTTCAAATTGATTGAATTGAATGAGAATGGAATTAACATCATCTAAAAGTTTGTCGTATCGCTCAACCATATCAAATTTACTATTCCATCTTGTGGGAACATCCTGAATTAACTTTAACACTTCTGATTCTAAAACGCCTCTTAAGATTTGACTATCTCTTAGCTTATCAGAGGCGTTCCCGTTGTGCCTCACATAGGTGACGTTGCCTTTTAATTTATCCACAATAATTTTAGTCTGTATGTTTTCATTGTTAGCTTGCTCTACAATGATATCCAGACGGTGGTCAAAACACCAAAGATGTTTCCTTCTTCCCAGTAAGTCACTGATTGCACGGCAGATATTTGCACCTCCATCGGTGGTGCACCCATTAATGCGATTCTTTTCGAGTTTCCACTCCTGAAGCATGCCTTAAATAATGTTATACAGATATTCTGCTGTATGACTTTCAGATAAAGGCTCGCAGCCTAAACTTACAATTTTCATTCTCGGTTCAGACGGATCATAGTAATGCCCAGTGAGACAAATGTACGACTGAAGTGTATAATGTTCCGTCCATATATCTGTCGTCGAAGCCACATAATCCTGTTGATCTAAGATCTCCTGCATTCTTTTGCGAAGAGTATTATACTTTTTGTTCAACAGCTCCGCTAACTTCTTCCTTCCTGGTGGTCGATAGAGAGGCACTACCACACTCAGCAACTTCCTAAAGCCAGGGCGCTCTACGTGCATAAATGGTAGCCGATCTTTTGCTGTCATATAGACAATACTATCAGTTATTTCAACCCATTTGGCATTGCCCACTGTAAAAATGAAAAGAGAGTAAAAATATTTTTGTTTTAATAAGCAAAAAAGAACGATCATAATAAGCAGTATATATAATATACAGAAATTAAAAACCCAAAGTCAAAATTAGTTGCACTTACTCATATTAATCTTTTTAATTTTTATGTATTTGCTTTAAGGGAAAAAAGGAGAGAAAAAAAATCTGATATGCCTACAGAGGAGAAACAAGCAGGAAGCTCCAACCAATACCACCTACCCATACCTTTCAGCGCAAAAAGAGGTTAGGAATCCGTGGTAAAAACCAAAATACATGGCATCTTATGGGAACTGTCGGGTTCTCCGTTGTTTATTTAGTAATAAGTTCTTGAAAATTAGGAAAACACACTTAAAGGAGTTGCAGGAATTTAAGTGAAGTTATTCGAATGATATTTTATTTATCATTTAGTTTTTCTCTATTGAGTGCGCGAAGTTTTTTCCGAATTATAGTCACCCATTATGTGTTCACCCAATGGTTGATCCCTCGTTCTTGTTCTTTTTTAATTATTATATTGTTCGCCTGACCCCAACTGAGTAATATTTATCATCGTAAGCATTTATACACTGAATGTCATCTTGCCTTTGTAGTAGCCAGTATATTGGTAGATTAATTGCTAGTTTCCATCGAAATGTGCTGTAAGTTCTTACTGAGCTCCCGCTCTGTCCTAATTTTTGCTCAGCAACCCATGATGGCACTGCTGTGGAAGCAAGAGATGAGTGAATAGTATTTTATAACATAAAGAGGAGAGTTTGATCGATCGTGACCTTCCAGATATCCTTATCTTTTCATCGTGTCTTAGGATGCAGCGATCATGTGCATTTTGAAGCACCCATCATTTTCCGGCTCTTTTCATATCATTGAAGCATGTTTACTGCCACATGCCGAAGGACATCTGCATGTTTTTCTTTAATTCAGATTGTGTGCCATTAATCTCGTATTAATGTGAGCTGGAAAGCAATCTGTCTCTAGAAAAGCCTGTTGTAAGTCTCGTTAAACTCTCCTAGGATGGATGATGACATTTTTTTGACACCTTCAGGTAAATTAATAGATTCAAATTTTATTCTCAATCTCCCTTCACAGACATTTTGTCAATGATTAAAGTGAAGACCTCTTACATCTATTCTGTCAATACAGGTAATGTAGAAGGTGGTGCCGAGGCAGTGCAGCCACATATAGATTCTGTTGCGAGGTCACAGTGTAGGATGACCTATCAGCTAATAATGAGAATGACACTTTGGTCAGGCGCATGCACTTTTTCACGCCAACAAAACTCAATTATCTCGTAGTGAGTGACACGAAAAGTGGCAGCTGAGATGCTCTAGCTACAGTTTAAGGGTTGATTGGCCTGGTTGACAAACCCAGATCCTTT